ACAAAATTCATTTCTAGAAATGTCACGACGTATGTATGATATATGCATGGGCATGCTGTGCCAGTACTTTTAAAAATTTTGTCATTTCTGCCTGTTATACATCCACACTTATAATAGTTATTTATAAGGGCACCTATTTTCCATAAATAATTACATAGGATTTTTTAAATGCATTATTTTGATAAAATTTTAAAATTATATAGCAGTCATGTATATTGGTGAACTCTTTATATTTTTACATTATATGACAGAGCTGAGTCAAATAAAGCTGAAATTAATCTATTAAGGGAAAATAATTTAGCATAAGTCCAGCCAATTGTACATAAATGAAGCTCCTGAGAGCACTTTTAGGAAGGAGCCCAATGATGGCTAATAAAGCTGTTGAACACATATGCCAATGCATCTGAAATTTAATTAATGTTTCCCATCTTTCACACTCTCATGTACAGCATTCTCTTTTGGAACGTCTATCCTTAACAGGAACATAACAAACGAAATTCCTCAGTGTAAAATGGTTTAGCAAAGAAAGACTCCTTACCTTTAATAGGAAGGAGTCGAACATAAGCAACTAGGGAGAAGCTGCATAAAGAAAGAGGAATCATTAAAACATATGAAAAGAAGGGAAGGAAGTTAAAACAATACCATTAATAACAAGGACTGCTTCAACTCCTTTCCAGCACTATTTACAGGTAGGCAGGGATGTCGACCGACTATCACAGTCTACTGACGTAAATCTCTGGACCTCATTTCTCTTATATATAAAAGGAGAGAGAATAGATGATTTGTAAGTTATCTTTGGGTTTTAACCTTTTTTTCACTGCAAAATTCTCCTACACCAGCTCATCACAATGAACTGACTCATAAGCTCATTTCATTTTTGAACCACCCTGCATAGTGATGTGTGTGGGTAGCCATAGGCTGGTGATTGTTAAATGGCCTGTGCAAGGCCATACAACCAGTAAGTTGCTAAAAGGAACCTCAAACTCAGATTCTTGATAGTATAGCCAAGGCTCTCCATTAGACTGCTGCTTAATTGATATCGAAGCTGATTAATAAATTAATGGTTTATCAAAGTGATACATGTACCTTAGATGTTTCTTTGTTCATTTATTCATTCAGTAAATATTTATTGAGAATTTACTTTATGCAAAGCCCCATGGACTTCAAAAATAGTGTCTTTTGAGAGACTGTGCCAAAGCCATATAAGTACACTGTAGACTCCTTTCTTCTTCTTAGTAGAGTTGGATAGGACTGAACAGAATTTTTCATGAATTCTATTTTTTTTTTTAATTGTATTATGGTGGATATATATATATATGTATAGCACAGTTCTCCATTTTAACAATTTTTAAGTGTACAGTTAATTACTCTAATTACATTCACCATGTTGTGCCACCATTACCACTATCCATTTCCAAAGCTTTTCATCACCCTCCAAAACAACTCAGTACAACAATACCACCCCACCCTCAGCCCCTGGTAGCCATGAAGAAACTTCTCTGCAATAGCCTATTCTAGATATTTCATGAGAGGGATCACATAATACTTGTCCTTCTGTGACTGACATTTCATTCAGCATAATGATTTCAAGGTTCATCCATGTTACAGCATGTCAGAATTTGATTTTTTTAGTGGATATATAATATTTCATTGCATGGGTATAACATATTTTGTTTATTATCCATTTATCTATTGATGGACACTTGGATTATTTTTGATTTATGGTTGTTGTGAATAATGCTGCAAGGAACGTAGGTGTAGGAGTGACTGGTGGATTCCTTGATTTCAAATCTCTTATGTATTTACTGGGTCTACATTTAACATTTTGAGAAAATGTCAAACTGTTTTCCACACTAGCTACACCGTTTTACATTCTCATTTTACATTATATTTTCATTTTACATGAAAATATTTTCCACATTTCCATGTTTTTTTCAACATCCTCACAAACACATATTATTTTCCACATTTCTGATAATAGTCATCTTAATGGGTATGAAATGCTATCTCATTGTGGCTTTGATATGCCTATCTCTAATGATTAATGACAATGAATATCTTTTCATGTGTAATTGGCCATTTGTATATCTTCTTTCAGAAAGGTCTATTCAACTCTTTTGTCCATTTTTAAATTTTTGTTTGTTTTTTTGGTTTGTGATTTTGTTGTTAAGTTGTAGGAATTATTTAAATATTCTGGATTCATTAATTCTTATACCAGCTACCATGACTCAAATTTTCTTACCATCTTCTTGATTTATTAAAAGCCCACTTGAACAGTTCAAATGTAGAACCTAAGTTACCATCCTCTAGGAATTCCTATTTAAAAAAAAAATAGGTAGAGATTTTCCTAAAAGTAGAAAAATAATCTGTTTATAGTCAGTAAACAAGAACATTCAAACATAGCAAACATCGTTGGTGGTCATTTTTATTTATATCATTTATATTGCATGCTCACAATGTGAGAGAGAAGAGTCAAAAATGACTTCCAGATTTCTGGTTGGGGAGAATGAGAAACATGATAATGCCTTTCAAAGTTATAAAACAAGAGGAGACCTTAGAAGGAAAACAGTCAAATTCATTTTGCATCTATTCCCTTGGGACATGCCACAGATGTGCAGAAAGCAAATAGATACACACAAGGGCAAGTCTCATTCCAGATGCTAAGTTGCAGTTACCAAAGGAGAGAAGTTAAGACCACAGACTCATTAGGGAACGTATGCGTGTCAAGTAGAACAGTAAACAGAGGAATGGATCTCAAAGAGGTCTAAACTCCAGACATATTTGCATTTTTTTAGAAAGAAGAGACAGAGAGCTTCAGGATATGGACAGAACTCACCAGAGGATGGGAGAAAAACCTAGGAGAGAATGATGTCAGAGAAATTAAGTCATTCAACAAAAAGGGTGGGTCAGTATTATCAGAGGTCATAGATGAAGTAAGTAAAACACTAAAAACATCAATAGATTGTTACATATAAAAATCATTGCTGAATTTTGTCAGAGTAGTTTTAGAGAAAATGTGGAATTAGAAGTCATAATTTGGCCAGTGGACTGAAGAGGAGAAGGAAAGATTAGAGGCAGCCTGTATACTACTCGTCCAATAAACTTTTTAAAATTATCTCCATGTACTGTCATCTAGTGCATAATAAATATGTAAAAACAGTTGGGTAATTAAATAAAGTGATTGAAATCAATTTGACTGAGAAAGAAACAAAAGATAGATAAAACCTGGAGGGGGTTGTATCCTGACCCCTCCTCTGGTTTTCAAGGTGGGATCTCTATGCCCAATCTGCCTCAGGAGGAGTGGCTGGTGGGTTTGAACCACCAGCCTTCTGGTGAGCAGTCAAAGGCACTAAGCCGCCAGAACTCCCATGTAGATATGAGGGTCATATTGATTGTATCTTGAGGGTTTAGAAATTGAAGAGCGAGAAATAAAGATTGCAGTTGAGAGAAGAGCTAATCTTGAGAAATCAAACACTTGGCTGCTTTCTTAAAATAGTAGATAAGTATACCTGTATGCTTCATAAGAGATTGTGTCAAATAAGATCTTAATTTATAAAAACTTTTAAACTTAAATGGATTTTCCAGTGAAAATTGTGGCGAGGATATCAGGAAGAGCTAACATTTCCGTAATCATTCACGACATAGGGCCAATGTGCAAGATAGACCATTACTCTTTTATTGGTGATTAAACTGAGTTTTAGAGATTCTGATGGACTTGCCAGGAGCTCTGGTAGCGTAGTGCCTAAGGCACTTGACTGCTAACCAGAAGGCTGGCAGTTCAAACCCACCAGCCACTCCTCGGATGGAAGATGGGGCAATCTACTTCCATAGTGATACTGCCTCGGAAACCCAAGGAGGGGTCACTTGATGGCACATAACAACAACAACAACAATGGACTTACTTCTGGTTAAGAAGATGGAAGGGCAATTAGAAAAGGTTCTCTGATTCCAGGTCTATCTCCTCTTCACTGAACTGTTTGACAATACTTAGATAAACCAAGGTTGAATAAGTCATATAAATTAAACCTTCTGATCCCAGAAAAAGATTCATTTTGAAAAAAATGATTATGATTAATCAAGAGTACATTATCTTTTTAAGAATAATATCTGAAAATATGATTTTTTTTTGTTGATGTATCTTTTCTCAAGAGGCCTAACAGATATTTTCTCAAATATCAGAACTGGAAGACACATTGTCATAGACTTCTATGCTAAAGAAAATAGCAATACCACAGAATATCTTGTAATGGACTAAATGCAAAACATGTGTTATGTTATGATGAGAAAAAAAGCACTTATTTTAATATTTGAAAAAAAAAAAGCTTTCAGTACTAAATAGAGAAAAAATAATTATTTCTATAAAAGAAAGTATAATTCTACATTTAATATTAACACCAGGTATAGCTTCTTAGAGTGCAATTTTATTTTTTTTAAATATACTTTTCTATTCTCTTTTTCTCTTAGTCAAACATAACATATTTAAATAGCATTCCAGCATCTGTTTTACATCAGAAATGAATAAAATATTTCCATATAAACAGAGAACGTTGGCTTTTATTTCTTTGTATTCAATTAAAATAATAATAATAAAAATCATCTGGGGCAAAATACCTTTCAATCTTTTTGTTATACTTGGAATTAAAACTGTTCTCAGTTACCTGCTGGTGGATTAGAGTTATCTATCAGTACATTACAATACCTGTGAAGCTGTTAATGTGGAGTGAAAGTTGCCCTGAATTGTTATAGATTCTGGAGATTAACTGTCAGAATTTCCTGTGTTAGACTGCCTAGGTACAGAGGTTCTGTGGTTGTTGGAGGGGTTAAAGTTGGAGCCACTGGTGCATATATATTAGAGAGGATAAAAATACAACGGTGGAGCGTGGGTCAAATCATTACTGTGAGCGGGCAGTGACCAATAGAAAGGAAAGGAGAAGATCCAAGAAAGCTGAGGTAAGCTGTCTTCTGCAGCCCCGTCAAAGTGGAAACAATAGATCAAAGGTGTTCCTGGTAACAGGTCAGAGCAGGTTTTACTTTTACTGTTAGGAGGCTTGAGAACATATAATAAAAACAAAGGGTTTTCAGTCAAAATTTTATCTTTAAACAGCTTTTTAGCAAACTTCAGACCCAGACCCAAGACTCAACGAAATATTCCTGGAGAGCAAGGTAAACTATTTTGCACTTTTTAAAACTCTTAAAGAATGCAAATCTTTGACTCATCAGAGGTAGGATTACAACTGCAATAACTAAAGCAAATCCCTATTCTGAAAAGATTTTTTTTCTTTTTTTTTTTTTTGATGTGTCTCTGTTGAAGGTTGGCCAGAGCAGCATTCTACAATTGTAGGAAATCCGACAGTTGTGGAAGCAGCCCTGCACTTGTCATTTGCAGCAATTAAGTGATAATTGAAAGTCAGCATTTTGCAAATGATCCTAATTTTATCTTTTCTCAATGCATCAGTAAGATTTATTCCATCCTTATCAAGTGGTTTAAATATGTTAGAATGTTATTGTTTGCAATTTTTCCCCCATTGGAATAGTTCTTTATACCTATAACTTTGATGTTCCTGGGGGTGTGTGTATCTTTTAAATTTATGAAATATCAATTGTGTTTAGTTTTTCTTTCATTATTAGGCAGTGGACTCAAGGACAACTAATAATACTGAAAACATACAATAAAGGAGCATTCTCTATATCTTAAGCATGCTTTTTTGTTTGCCTTTTTTTATCAACCATAATAAATCCATAAAAACTTTACTTATGTAATTGTGAGATATATACAGAGTTTATAATTCACATTTCTTGAACAACTTGATTCTGTACTTATAGTATTAGAAATCTTTTCTCCCTGAATATTCAACTTACCTGAGAAGTCGAGCAATAGAACAAGAGATTAATCACAGGCTTTCTTCAGATCTTAGGACCTTCTTCCACAACAAACTGTTAAAATGTTCTTCAATCTCTCCATTTCTTTGGTTCAAGGTCCAAAGGGCCTGAGAAATTTCATCCAGATGTTCTACTCTTTAAGGAGTAAAAATAGAAGCATGTGCCTACCACTTAGTAATAACACAGACTCTCAATTTAAACTTTTAAAAGATTACCTTATTGTACTCTTGTATTCAATACGGGTTTCTGTTAATTTCCTTGCAATAAATAGCTTGAAATGGAAACGCATTCAGAGTTGCTAAAATTTGCTCTCCATTTCTCAACTTGTATTGTGATTGGGATAAAACCAAAAGTTACAACTTACTATTCATCTTAATTTAAAAAGAAATGGTGAGTCAGTTCCAGTGTTTTCAAAATAGTTTATACATAGTACCTGCTAAATATGTGTTCACTGATATCTATGTATAATCTATCAAATAAATGTAAACCATTTTACCTCTCTCTAAAGGACACAATGTTTACTGATCATTTTGATACGTACGTTTATTTAAAGGTCAAGATCATCTAACATCTAATGATTATGATCCCTTATTCTAGGTATCATAATGGCAACCACAATCTGTTTCATCATCTGGGCATTACTCATATCTGATACAGTATGGACTCGAAGCGTGAGGCAGGTTCAGGAAGTGAATGAGCCAGAGTATTGGAATGTGGATGACTTTGATTGTCCCATGGAATGTTTCTGTCCCCCCAGTTTCCCTACTGCTTTATACTGTGAAAATCGAGGCCTTAAAGAAATTCCTGTCATCCCTTCAAGGATCTGGTACCTTTATCTTGAAAACAACCTGATAGAAACCATCCCTGAGAAGCCATTTGCAAATGCCACCCAGCTGAGATGGATAAATCTAAACAAGAACAAAATAACCAATTATGGGATTGAAAAAGGAGCCCTGAGCCAGTTGAAGAAGCTGCTTTTCTTATTTCTGGAAGATAATGAGCTGGAGGAGGTACCTTCTCCATTGCCAAGAAGTTTAGAGCAATTACAACTAGCTAGAAACAAGGTGTCCAGAATTCCTCAAGGGACCTTCAGCAATCTGGAGAACCTGACCCTTCTTGATCTGCAGCATAATAAACTCTTAGACAACGCCTTTCAAAGAGACACATTTAAGGGACTTAAGAACCTCATGCAACTAAATATGGCCAAGAATGCCCTGAAGAATATGCCACCAAGATTGCCAGCCAATACAATGCAACTGTTTTTAGACAACAACTCCATTGAAGGAATACCAGAAAATTATTTTAATGTGATTCCTAAAGTGGCCTTTCTGAGACTAAACCATAACAAATTATCCGATGCAGGTCTCCCTTCAAGTGGTTTTGATGTATCATCAATTCTAGATCTTCAACTGTCTCACAACCAACTCACAAAGGTCCCCCGAATCAGTGCCCATCTGCAGCACCTTCACCTTGATCATAACAAAATCAAAAGTAAGTAACCATCAGGGTGTGCTTATGGGAATAAACTTTCTCTAGATCTTCTTTAAGAATATCAACTTAAAAATTAAAAAAAAAAAAAAAATCTTTCCCCAGATAATGTACTCTCAGGTATTTACAAATTTATTTCCAATTTTCAAAAGTAAATTTTATGTATTCACAGACAGTCTTAATAAACCAACGAGCCCAAATATTCAAATCACAGAATGAAAGTGAACTTTAGTAACCTACAAGGGTATTATCTACTAGAGAAATATAATGCTTCTATCTTCTTTTACTCTGAGGAGGTTGTATTATTTTTACTTGTCATTGGGTAGCGTTATTTAAAAATGTGCAATAAACAGCCTTAGAATAGTAAGAGAGGTGATATGACAACAAGAAGGCATATCTGTTACAAAAATTATGGGACAGCTGATGCCTATAACTTTCATAACTAGTCTTTGGTTTAAATTAGTGGATTCCTCAAACTTCAGGAACTGGTGGGCCCACCCCCAGACTTTTTGATTCAGTAGGTCTGGAGTGGGGCCTGAGAATTTTTGGTTTTAACAAGTTCCCAGGTGATAATAATACTGCTTCTCTGGGAATCATGCTTTGAGAAACACTCTGGTAGTTTAAAGCTTTGCTCAGTTGAAGTGGAAACAAACTCTCCTGGAAGGTGGCAACTCTTTAGGATGGAGGGACAATCAAGAAGGTAGAATATCCACCCACTCCTTCCCTTAAAAGAGGCTTTTTACAAGGGAGAAAGGAGTGAATGTTAAGTGCTTTGGAGGCAGAGGTGTCACGAAGAAAAAAGTGGTTATAGAAAGAAGAGGCTGGAAATATGAAAGACACACTTGACATCTGTAAATTACGCCTGACACCAGGCTGAACCTTGTATAGAAATGGGCAATATCTTGATCCAGCCACAGGGGTGCAGACACCCAGCCTGGCAATTGTCCATGCATCCTTAACTCCAGCACAATCTCTTTAAGGCAGATAATTTTGAAGAACCTTCACTTAAACGACTTTAAAATATATATTTATAAGGGGATACCCAATCTGGTTTGTAAGAAAGTACCTCTAGCATAGTGCCTAAGGAACTTGACTGCTAACCAGAGGCTGGAGGTTCAAACCCACCAACCACTCCTCGGAAGGAAGATGGGGCAATCTACTTCCATAGTGATACTGCCTCAGAAACCCAAGGAGGGGTTGCTATGAGTCAGGTTCGACTCGACGGCACGTAACAACAACAACAACATAGGTAAGTGTCCGAAAGTTGTGTTGCTTGATTACTACTCACTGAAGCTTCCTTTAAGAAAATTAACCACATAAATATACCATTTATAAGGGTACATTATTTTTCTACTCACTTACTCAAGATTTTCTGGTTTTTTTTTTTTTCCCTAATAGCACACTTAAGCATTAAAATCCAGGAAGTAAAAGGCAGAGTGCTGCTCCAGCAGTTATTTTTCCAAGGCGATGAGACACAGTCAAATGCAAAAGATGCCACAGAAAACTTTTATTAGAAGTTGAATCTGTTTATCTGGAGCTGGATCTGTTTAGCTGAACAAAGTAAAATACAGCTAGCATCGACCTAGACTGTGGGATTTTCCCTGTTGAAAGTTCTGGGCATCTTCAGTGCCTTCTTTACCTGACAACAAAAGCTTCACAGACATTTGTTGTGGGAAGTTAATTTAAAGGGACTTCACATAAAGCACTGTTTGTGATTTGGCTTTCCACACCAGGCATTTTAGAAGGAGGCTGTTCAAGAATGAGGTTGAAATACTGAACACACAGTTAAGCACATATGTCAGGCACTTACATAATTATACAGTTATCCAAAGAATATGACTGTATCCTTGTTCCACCCATATTTTATGAAATTTTCAAAGCCTTTTCCCATATATTACTATTTTTCAATATTTCTCATTTTAATATTCCAAGAAAATGAATATAAAATCAGAATTTCCCCAATGAGTAATAACAGCCCATAGTTGTATCACACTGTGTGATAATAACTGTTTAAGTACTTAGTTCCTCTTGCCATAGAACCTACTAGAGCTGTAATTTTTTTTTTTTTTCCTGTATAATGGCTTTTATATAAAGGATCATCAGAATTTATAGGACAGTGAATATTTATTCTGGTAGCCTGGTGCCTAAGGCATTTGACTGCTAACCAGAAGGCTGGTGGTTCAAACCTGCCAGCCATTCCTCAGAAGGAAGATTGAGCAATCTACTTCTGCAGTGATACTGTCTCAGAAACCCAAGGAGGGGTCACTGTGAGGTAGATCTGACTCCACGGCAGTGAGTTTGGTTTTGGTTTTGGAATGTTTACTATGTAAAATGATGGAAATATACACATATCTCTCCTGAACATCTTTAGAGAATTTAAATTTGCCCGATATTTTATGCATTCAAATGAGATGCTTCCTTGGTGCTCTGTTAGAAATACCATAATTAGTTCATAAAAATAAAATTAAAATTTTAAACACTTGTTTCTTACATTTCTCTTTAGACATGTATTGATTATGGGACATGAGGGTGATAGGCAGATAAGAAAATGGCATATCAAAAATGATACAATCTCCCCAGTCAGCAAGGAACCCCCTGTACTGGGGAAGGAGTAGGCTGGAACTCTTCTTTGCCTCTTCTCTTCAGAAACACCTTGTATGCATTAGCTCACTGCTCTCAACTACTGTTTCCACAAAGACTCGGTAGAGAGAATAACAATATCGATTCAGAAAACCTTTGTGATGATAAAGTAATAATGTACCTATGTAAAAAATAACTTTACAAACACAAAACCAAACTGCTAGACAAATCTGAGTCATTATTTTTATCAGATTGAACTCACAAAATAGCAGAAGGTCTGGGCAATATTTACTATAAACATAAAATCACTCCATGCAATATGAATCTTGATGACTCAGTAGGACAGAGAGGAGGAGTGTGGCCCAAGGTAAGTTGGCCTAATCAGGGAGGAGTTGTAGCTTGAAATAGTTTCAAAATAGGACTTAAACCCAGTATACAGATTCATGGTCAAGATCAGCTATTTCAGGCTAATCTTGTTTGTCTGGAGAATATACAACTTCTCTGAATTTTGCCAATTTAGCAGGCCTTTCCCACTGAATGCTCCTAAACATCAGCATTGCCATTGGTGCCAAGGGCTCCGTTCCAAGGCAGATGTGTGATTTCTCACATTTGAGCCATGAAAAGGCTGATGGGATGCTTTCTTTGTAACTCAATTCTTGGCAAATATTTCCTTTCCAATTAAGTGAATATAACTATGGAGACTCAAAGTTGTTTCTGGTGTAGTATAACATATGTAAAGTTAGTTAATTGTACTTAAAAAAAAAAAAAAAAAAACCTGGCACCATACCCTGGTGGTTGAAAATTGTGCATCTGTTAAGATAATTTTTGAGCAGTTTTTCTTATATTAAACCAATTTTCTACCCATTTGCTATTCCTTCCCCCATCCATTCATCCATCACCTATCCGTCCAAGGGTCCATCCATCCGTCCATCCATCACCTTCATTCATCCATCCTTCCCTCCATCCTCCTATGTACCCCGATCTTTCAGTTGTTGTCTTTAGTTGCCATAGAGTTGATTCTGACTTATGGTGACATCATGTGTACTGAGTAGAGTTGTTCCATAGAATTTTCAAAGCTGTGACCTTTCAGAAGTGGATTGTCTCCCAAGGCACCTCTGTGTGAATTCAAACTTCCAACACTCCCTCTAGTAGTTGGACACTTAACTATTTGTTCCAACAGAACTGTCTTTTCTACTTCTAATGCTCTAAATTCTATTTGTCCCTTTATATAGTAATCTAAGTATACCCCATCTCATCTACAAGCTTAGAAAACTAGGCATATGTGTTACCTTTGCTTCCATCACAGCTTCTAGCAATATTTCTTCTCTAGTGCTCTGTACTAAGTATAACAGTATACAGTGAGGTTACTACTCATGTTGTATATTTTTCATGGTTATCATATAAAACATATAAATACCTTGAACAAAATGGTTTATGTATGTTTCCCTCTCATACAACAGGCTACCAGCTCCTCCATAGGACTGTTACAATAGCTTCTTAGCCATTCCACTCTAGTTTTTCATGTGTTCCAATTAATTCATTCATGATACCTATCTTTGTCTCTATAGGTGTGAATGTCTCTGTAATATGTCCTACTCCTTCCGCTCGGCCAGAAGAACAAGACTTGTTCCGTTATGGACCTCGTCTTAGCTACCTCCGTCTGGATGGAAATGAAATCAAGCCACCAATTCCCATGGATTTAATGACCTGCTTCAGGCTCCTGCAAGCTGTCATTATTTAAGCACATCTTCTGCAATCTGAAATTGGTTTAATGAGCTAATGTTTCTGACGTAAAGTTTGTTATCATTCATAGGTATAGGACAAAAATCGCATTTCCAATTTCTCTTTGCCACCATTTTCAGTTGTGCAGCTTAAATCATCTACTCCTTTGCCAGTGATACACAACATAGTGTGTAGTGATTTACTTTTCTTTAACTAATAAAACCGACACAGAGTTAACCACTCAAAGATAGTTCTTTTTGCCTCTTTCACAGCTTATTAATTACTACAAATAAATCAATTACATAGTTACACAATAAAAAGGATATAAGTAACTGCTCAAAAAGACTTATGTAGATACCCTATTTACAGTATAAATATAGTAATGAAACATATTACTTTATCTTAATTATAATGAAATAAATACACATTACCAAGGAGCTTTTGCACAAGTTTGTTTATTGAGCTCAAAAATGGGTATGAAATGAATCAAATGCATCATAACTATAGAGTTCTGCTGTTTAATTCTAAATAACCAAGTGACAGTCATTTCTACTTTCATTTCTTGCTGTCATTATTATATATATGCAGTGTATTCCAAAAATCAAACAAGTCTTAATTTTTGAACTAATACATCATATTTCTGACAGAATCTTAGTGTTTTAACATTTGAAATCCACTCAGACATTGTTTACCTTTTGTATTTGCTAGTGTTTTGTGGAGGAGCTCTGGTGGTGTAGTGCCTAAGGCATTTGACTGCTAACCAGAAGACTGATGGTTAAAACCCACCAGCCACTCCTCGGAAGGAAGGTTGGACAATCTACTTCCGTAGTGATACCACCTCAGAAACCCAAGAAGGGGTCACTATGAGTCAGATTTGACTTGATGGCAGCGAGTTTGACTTTTAGAGTTTGAGTGTTTTGTGTATTTTTAAAATAAAAAGAGTGAGTGTTTTCTGAAGAAAAGCAAAGTAAAATATTTATTTCAGGGACATTAGTCACAAGTTTTATATCAGAACATATTTTAATGAAAAAGTATTAAAATAATAAGTATTTCTTTTTTTCTAGGTGTGAATATATATAAATATGTTTTTCTTCCTTTACATTGTTTTTCTTTTCTTCCAGTACACACAGACACAAAATTTATATTTCAATCACTTGATATAATATACCAGTTTTTTGACCATTAAAAAAAAATCCAGAATTTTATTAAATAACTAAGTGCACTTTACTTTAGCTTCTGATTTTCTAAGACATATGGTATAAGACAATCAATATTCCATACAGATCTGTGCATTTCTTTGTACATATTTTCTAAACAATATTCTGAATATCCTACAAATATTGATGTATTTTCCTCATAAAGGATTCTCTAGTCATACAAGTTTGTGAAACACTGAGGTAAAAAAAGTCAAATATAAGGAAAGAAACAGAGAAATCTAAGGCTTAATCTCAGAAACTAAATATGTTATTCTGCAAATGAATTTCCAAGAAGAAAATATTATATACAGAATTGCCACTTATTTTGACACAAACTTATTTTTTTGATGGAAGAGTTAATTAACATACTTAGAATACAGCTTGCAAAATGCTAACTGAACGCAAGAAATCCAATTAATTGACATTACAAAATCAATTACACTCTAGAATAAATTTTTAAAAAGATGTCAAAGCACATGAATACAATGATAAAACTTAGCCACACAAAATTCTACCATAAAAATACAGGTAATCAGAAATCATTAGTCAGGAGAAATGAACACGTGGAGGGAAGCATAATAACTTCAAATATTGCCATACGAGAAGGGGTCACACCATATTCCAGGAACTCCAAAAGTGAACAATAGAAATTAATTATTATTGTTAGATGTCATTGAGTCAGTTCTGACCCATAGAGACACTGTGTACAACAGAACACGTGTTGTGCCCGTCCTGCACCATTCTCATAATCCCGGCTAAATTTGACTTTACTGTTACAGACACTCTGGCAATCCATCTCACTAAGGGTCAGCTTTCCCTTTTTCATTGATGCTCTCCTTTATCAAGTATGATGTCCTTTGCTAGGGACTGGTCCTTTCTGATAATATACCCAAATGATGTGAGATAAAGTCTTATCATCCTCCCTTTGAAGGAACATTCAGTCTGTACTTCTTCCAAGACAGATTTGTTCATTATTCAGGCAGTCCATGGTATATTTAACCATCTTTGCCAGCACCACAATTCAAAGCTGTCCACTTTTCTTTGGTCTCCTGATTCATAGCCCAGCTTTCACATGCATAAGAGGTGATTGAAAATACCATGTCTTGAGTCAGGTACACCTTAGTCTTCAAAGCAATGTCTTTGCTCTTTAACAATTTAAAGAGGTCTTTTGTAGCACATTTGTCCAATGCAGTACTTTGATTTCCTGACTGCTACTTCCATGGCCATTGATTATGGATCCAAGTAAAACGAAATGCTTGATAACTTCATATTTTTCTCCTTTGACCACAGTGTTGCTTACTGGTCCAGTTGTGAAGATTTTTGTTTTCTTTAGGTTGAGGTGTAATCCATAGTGAAGGCTGTAGTCTTGGATCTTCATCAGTACACACTTCAAGTCCTCTTTACTTTCAGCAAGGATGGTTGTATCATCTGGATATCTCAGGTTGTGAATGAGTTTTCCTCCAATGCTGTAGACCCATTCTTCTTCATGTAGTCCAGCTTCTTGGATTATTTGCTCAGCATGCAGATTGAATAAGTATGGTAAGAAGATATGTATGTGGTGCAGTGTATTGCTTAATATGTTCCTTCTAGCCATAATCTTTGGACTTCCACCAAAGGACTGGGTGGGACTATGCCGATATGAGGTGCTTGTGGCCCACTGAGAGGATTAGTAGGTTGCTAATAAGGTAAATCAGTGCATGTTACAGTTGCAGGGGTGGGACTATGCAAATAAGATGTATGGAATTCTAACATGGGGATTGGTCAGTTTTGCCATTCCAGTGGGCTTAAAATGATCCATCCCAGAGGAGAAAGAAGAATCAGAAGTGGAATATGTCCTTTACTAGAGATCCCTGTGCTGAACCTCCTCAATCCAGGACACAGAGAGTTGTGACACCAGAGACAGCAAGAAATCTTGGCAATAGAGGGAGCAGAACAGAAAGACCACACGAGAGAGAGGTGAGAGAGGCTTTTTCATTCAGCCCACAGAATGAAAAGCTGAGTTCCCCCAGGAGGAGGTTTGTGGCAGACTGGGCTGCCTCTGGGGATTTATCAGCAGAGCTAGAAGAGCTTTGCAACCCCGGCCCAAGCAGGGCAGAAGCTTGAGCAAGGCCTTGGGGGTCAGAGAGAGACCTGTCTCTAAGCACAGTTAAGGGGAGCCTATCCTGATAGTAGAACTATATCTTGAGCATGCCTGGTCCTGAATTATAAGCTGTTACTTCCTTAATGAAACCCATAATTGTAAGTATTGCATGTGCTATTGCAATGAATTTGTTGAACCTAGCAGAGAAGTAAGAGTGCTGTGGGAGGGATGTTTGGTGTAAGAATTGGTTAGATAAATAAATAAATAAATATATTTTGGAGGGTAGTGGCATAAATGACCTCTGCTTCATAGGAATCAGCCTTAAGCTGTTGATCTTGATCCTTCTCCCCCCTTGTGAAGTTAGAGGCAGTCAGATGCTGTAGCCATGCAATTTTTACAACATTTAAACCTGACACATATCAGTCCTGATTTTATTCCTTGCCATTTCCCCTTTTTTCTGTTTGAATGACCACCTCTTGGTCTATGTACAGGTTATACAGGAGCACAATTAAGTAGTCTAGAATTCCTATTTTTCTCAATGCTATTCATAATTTGTTATGATCTACATAATCAAATGCCTTTGCATAGTCAATAAAGCACAGGTAAACATCTTTCTGGTATTCTTTACTTTCAGCCAAGAGCCATCTGACATCAACCATGATATCCCTCTTTCACACCTCTTCTGGATCTGGCTTGAATTTCTGGCAGGTCTCTGTCAATGTACTGCTTCAACTATCTTTAACAAAAACTTCGCTTGTGTGTGATATTAATTATATTTTTTAATAATTTCTGAATTCTGTTGGATCATCTTTCTTAAGAATGAGCACAAATATGGATCTCTGATGGTTAGCCAGGTGGCTGTTTACCAAATTTCTTGGCGTAGATGAGTGAGCATTTCTAGAGTTGGATCCATTTGTAGAAACATCTCAGTTGGTATTTCATCAATTCCTGGAGCTGTTTTTTTCACTAATGTCTTTAGTGCAGCTTGAGCTACTCTCTTCAATACAATTGGTTCTTGATCATATGCTACTTTGTGGTAGTTAAGGTTGTATGTCAACTTGGCTGGGCTGTAGTTTTCAGTGGCTGGGAAGCTAGATGTAGTTATTCCCCATGGTGAGATTGTAATCACCTCCATGGTGGAAACTGCTGTGAGCAGCTAAGTAGTTGCCTTTGGCGTGTGTCCTGCTTTTAGTATAAGAGGAGAAGCTTTGGCGAAGGTCTCTAGCATTTTGGCACATATGGATTCCAGCTCCCGGAATTGAACCAGTGGACTGCCACATTGCCTGCTGATGTTGGCATTATGCCATTTTACCTGCTGATCTTGGCCTCATCAGCCTCATCAGACAGCACCTGTGTGAATTAAGAGAGGTCTCCTGCTTCAGTGGGCCTGGATAAAGAGGCAGAGCCGAAGCCGACGGTCAAGGAGCCTTCAACCAGCCCTTAGACCCAGCACTCTAAAAATGGAATTCTAGTGTCCTAAACTATGAGCAAATAAATTCCTATTTATGAAACTCATCCACTTGTGGTATTTATGTTACAGCAGCATAAGAGACTAAAACATACCTCTTTAAATGGTTAAATATTAATCTTTTTTTTTTTTTTTTTGTACAGTGACTCAGTGTATGCTTTCCATATCCTCTTGATGTTTCATGTATCCTTCAATATCTTGCCCAAGAAATCTTCAATATTGCAACTCAAAGCTTGAAATTTTTCTTCATTTCTTTCAGCTTGAGAAATGACAAA